AAGGCATAAAAACGTCGTAGTATAGTAAGGCATAAAAAGCCACATTATAGTAAGGCATAATAAATCAAGAAAAAGTGATAGTATAGTAAGGCATAAAAAGTCATGAAAAAGTCACAGTATATTAAGGCATAAAAATTTCATAGTAATGTAAGGCATAACAAGTCATAGTTTAGTAAGGCATAAAAAGTCATAATAGTGTCATAGTATAGTGAGGAACAAAAAAGTCACAGTATAGTAAGGCATAAAAAATCATAGTATAGTAAGGCATAAAAAGTCATAGTATGGTAAGGCATGAAAAGTCTAAAAAATGTCATAGCATAGTAAGGCATAAAAAGTCATAGTATAGTAAGGCATAAAAATGTCATAAAAAGTCATGGTATAATAAGGCATAAAAAAGTCATAGTATAGTAACGCATAAAAACATCATAGTATAGTAAGCTATGAAGAGTCTCAAAAACGTCATAGTATAGTAAGGCATAAAAAGTCATGAAAAAGTCAAATGAAAAGTCATGAAAAAGTCATAGTATAGTAAAGCATAAAAAGTCATGAAAAGTCATAGTATAGTAAGGCATAAAAAGTCATGAAAAAGTCAGTATAGTCAGGCATAAAAAGTCATAGTATAGTAAAGCATAAAAATTCATGAAAACGTCATAGTATAGTAAGGCATAAAAAGTCACAGTATAGTAAGGCATAATAATGTCATAGTATAGTAAGGCATGAAAAGTCTTAAAAACTTCATAGTATAGTAAGGCATAAAAATGTCCTAAAAAGTCATAGTATAGTAAGGAATAAAAAGTCATGAAAAAGTCATAGTATAGTGAGTAAGTCGGTAAGTCGGAGTCGGAGTATAATAAGGCCTAAAAAGTCAAAGTATAGTAAGGCATGAAAAGTTTTGAAAATATCATAGTATATTAAAGCATAAAAATGTCATGAAATGTCATAGTATAGTAAGGCATAAACAAGTCATAGTATAGTAAGGCATGAAAAGTCTTAAAAAGTCATGGTTATATTAAAGCATAATAAGTCATGAAAAAGTCATAGTGTAGTAGGGCATAAAAATGTCACAGTATACTAAGGCAAAAAAAGTCATCGTATAGTAAGGCATAAAAAGCCATAGTATAGTAAGGCATAATAAGTCATGAAAAAGTCCCAGTATAGTAAGGCATAGAAACTCATAAAAAATCATAGTATAGTATGGCATAAAAACGTCATAGTATAGTAAGGCATAAAAAGTCATGAAAAAGTCACAGTATAGTCAGGCATAAAAATGTCATAGTATAGTACGGCATAAAAACGTCATAGTGTAGTAAGGCATAAAAAGCCATAAAAACGTCATAGTATAGTGAGTCACAAAAAAGTCACAGTATAGTCAGGCATAAAAAAGTCATAACGTCATAGTATAGTGAGGAACAAAGAAATCGTAGTATAGTAAGGCATAAAAACGTCATAGTATATTAAGGCATAAAAAGTCATGAAAAAGTCATAGTATGGTAAGGCATGAAAAGTCTTAAAAACGTCATAGTACAGTTAGGAATAAAAAGTTGTGAAAACATAGTAATGGAAGGCATAAAAAAGTGATAGTATAGTGAGGTATAAAAAGTCATAAAAACGTCATAGTATAGTGAGGCATGAAAAGTCATAATAACATCATAGTATAGTGAGGTTTAAAAAAGTCATAGTGTAGTAAGCCATAAAAAGTCATAAAAATGTCATCGAATAAAAAGCCATAAAAAGTCAGACTATAGTAAGGCATAAAAAGTTACAAAAACATCATAGTATAGTAAGGCATTAAAAGTCAAATATTCATAGGACAGTATGCCATAGAAAATGTGCCTTTGCATGTAATAGTTTTTTAAGTCATAAAAATCAAACACAGTACAGTTAGATAAAATAAAATTTTTATTAATCACTTGGCGAGAAATTTGCGTGTTCACAGCAGCAGGAAAACAGCACAGATAGAAATACAACACCAAACAAAACAACATACAACAAACAAAATCGGCAAACAACTGGTCAAAACAACAAATGAGGAAACACCTGCACATGTATTTAAAGCTTCTGAAAAAAATCAAACATTATGTAAAGAGGCATTAACCAAATGACCACAACAGGTATTTAAAGTGTTCAGGTGTCTCAAGTGTCCAAAGTAGATGTATTGACAAACACATAATTCAAATGTCTGGGTGGATGGTGGGGCATTGGTGCTGTTGTACAGCTCGATGGCTGTTGGCACAGAGGAGCGCCTCAATCACTCCGTCTTACACTCTGCTGGAGCTCATCACAGAAGAAATGGGAGGGGTTGTCTAGGAGATTTTATTCCCTCATCCTCCTGCCGACCCCGCCTCCAGACTGCTAAATAACAGAGTTGGCGTTCCTCACCAGCTTTTTTAGTCTGTTGGTTTCCATAACCCTGATGCTGCTTCCCGAACACACCACAGGGAAGAACAGCACACACTTTCCTATTAGTCTTATTTTGTTGATCTGAATTTTTAATTTGCAATTCTGAATCTTTTAGTTTTTATGCTGCCTTTGGTGTTTCCTCTGCTGTTGTGTAAAGCACTGTGTTATGTTATGAAAAGTAATGAAGTCTGACTGATTGATTCAAAGATATGTCAAAGTATACAAATTCATCAAAATATGCCACAATATGAAATTAGTGTATAATTGTTAGCATGTTCCAAAATGTCCATTAAAAACGTCAGTGTAATGAGTCAGAAAATCTTATATATAGTTTGCGCTAAAAATGTGCCAAACATTGGGATATCAGAAAAAATGTCATTGCATAACATGCCATAAAAATGTGCTCTAAAATAGTTGTGTCTTAATATGACATATAAAAATGGAACACAATAAAGTATGTCAATAAATAAATAAATCAAGGATTAGTGTGACATTAAAATGTGAGTTAATTAAAGATGAATTAAAGCAATGATACTTGTTGACTCTACATTATAATGGACAGCCTGTCTGAAAACACGTCACATGTCTATTTACTCACTGACAGAGCTGTTGGTCACAACATTAATGAAGAGATGGAGGATAACAACAACATGTTCCTCCTACAATAATATCTCCTAAAGTTCAGCTGAAGAACACGAGGCTTCAACCGTCTGAGTCAAACTCATCTTCAGAGTTAAAGTCATTTTACACTGAAAGTCCCTCTTTGTGAAGCTCAGACTGTTGAGAGCAACACAAACAGGAAGTGTGTGTTTCAGCACTGAGAGTCATCTCCACTTCTTCTGATTCCTCTGTCAGTCACTGCTGGATGAAGCTCTCCTCTCCTCTTTACTCTCTGTAGACAGATCACCTCCAGCTGTAGAGAAGAAGAAGAAGAGCAGAGATGATGAATCTCAGAGACTTCAGCAGCTGTCAGTCAGTGATGCAGCAGGGACTTCAGTCCTGTTCAGACCAGATGTGCAGCAGCTGTGTAGCGTAGCCTGCTTCCTCTCAGCTCTCATGTTAACGTGTTGGAGTGAACACTGAGCTGGAAGCTCACAGACCTGAAAATATTCAAACCAAACCTCTGGACAGATNCCCCCACTGACCTCAGAGTCTCCAGTCTACAGTCTGGACTCTCCATGAGATCATGCAGCTCCTTCACTCCTGAATCCTGCAGGTTCTTGTTGAGTCTCAGGTCCAGTTCTCTCAGATGGGAGGGGTTGGACTTCAGAGCTGAGGCCAGAGAAGAACAGCTGATCTCTGACAAACTGCAGCGCTCCAATCTGAATAAAGAATAAAAGAAGTAGATTAAATGATTGATAATGGATCAGATATGTCCTAATCAATGATCTTTGTCTAAAATGAGTAGAGGGACTTTGTCCTTCTGTTATTGTGGATCATCATCATGTCAGCCTTCTACACACATCATCCAAATGTCAGCACAACATTCATACACCTCTTCATGTCAACATAGATTCATCAGCTGCTGCTGACCTCAGAACAGTCTGTCAATACAGAATCAATATCTGATCAGACACGTTGGACTAAAAACTGACTACAACACTTTGATTCATGACTGAACTGGATCATTATATTCTCATTTGTATATTGTCAGTCTGGGTCACTATTAATATTATACTCTTACTTTGTGAAATCCTGCATGTATGTTATGTTAAAGGACCTTGCCCTGCATATTCATATAGTTTGTATCAGAAAGGATATAAGTCGTGTATTTGATAAACATATAAATATGGACATTTCTTTAATAATAACTTAAGTAATTACTCTGTGTTCTGTTGCTAAGATACCAGTGTCTGATGGTGATTTACTGTTATTCCAGACTGATGGCAATACTGAGTGTCCAACAATAAACCCTGCTGGAGCCTGAAGCAGATTGATAAAGAATTACATCTCCTCACCTTCCTTCCTGTGTCCTGACCAACACACCATCCTGCTTACTGCTAAAACCCTAGAGGGAGCTGGCCCTATCCTTTCACCTCACAAACAAATATCAATCTGTCCATTTAGGAAGAATGTGAATCAGTTTCACCTGCTTTGGTGCAAAGGAAAGTGACAACAGGTGCAATGGAGGCAAAAGCAAGACAACCTCCAAAAGGGAATGGTTTTACATGTGGTGGCCACAGACAGTTGCTCTCTCCTGATCCTTCCTCACTGATTCTTCTCTAGTTTTGTGTTTTGCTGGTGTCCTTGTAACTACTGGGAGCATGAGGCGGGACCTGCAGCACAATCAGGTTGCACAGGTAGTCCAGCTCCTCCAGGATGGCTCATCCAAACGTGTGATCACAAGAAGGTTTGCTGTGTCATCACAATCTCAAGAGGATGAAGGAGATACCAGGAGACCGGCCATTACACGAGGAGAGCTGGACCGGGCCGAAGAAGAGTATCAACCCAGCAGCAGGACCGGTACCTGCTGCTTTGTGTGAGGAGGAACAGGAGGAGCAGTGACAGAGCCCTACAAAACAACCTCCAGCAGGCTGCTGGTGTGAATGTGTCTGACCAAACTGTCAGAAACAGACTCCATGAGGGCGACATGAGGACCTGATGTTCTCTAGTGGGACCTGTCATAGCCAAGCACCGTGCAGCTCCACTGGCATTCACCAGAGAACACCAGGATTGGCAGGTCCGCCATTGGTGCCCGTTCTCTTCACAGATGAGAGCAGGTTCACACTGAGCACATGTGACAGGCGTGAAAGAGTCTGGAGACGCCGCCGTGGTGAACATTGTGCTGCCTGTAACATCATCCAGCACGAGCGGTTTGGCCGTGGGTCAGTGATGGTCTGGGGAGGCAGATCCTTGGAGAGTCTCACAGACCTCCATGTCATAGCCAACGGTACTGGGTTAGGTACTGGGATGAAATCCTCAGAGTGACTGTCAGATCTGACGCTGGTGCAGTGGGCCTGGGTTCCTCCTGGTGCAGGACAACGCCCGGCCTCATGTGGCCACAGTGTGTAGGCAGTTCCTGGATGATGAAGGCATTGATGCCATTNACACACACACACACACACACACACACACACACACACACACACACACACACACACACACACACACAGAGAAGAGAAGAACAACTGGAAACATGAGACAACAAATATTTAAAATGTTGTTCATTCATTAAATCAATTGATTCAAGTTCTGTGTGAAGATAAATCAGCTTCAGTTGTGGGATAAAGATATAAGATCTACAACAGTAACAGTCAGTGAACTGACCTCAGAGTCTCCAGTCTACAGTCTGGACTCTCCAGAAAACCACACAGACCCTTCACTCCTGAATCCTGCAGGTTCTTGTTGTGACTCAGGTCCAGTTCTCTCAGATGGGAGGGGTTGGACTTCAGAGCTGAGACCAGAGAAGAACAGCTGATCTCTGACAAACTGCAGCCCTCCAATCTGAATAAAGAATAAAAGAAGTAGATAAAATGATTGATAATCGATCAGATATGTCCTAATCAATGATCTTTGTCTAAAATGAGTAGAGGGACTTTGTCCTTCTGTTATTGTGGATCATCATGACTCAACACAACTTTCACATCACATTCATCTCAGCACACAAATAAAACATGGAGTCTGACCTCAGAGTCTCCAGTCTACAGTCTGGACTCTCCAGAAAACCACACAGACCCTTCACTCCTGAATCCTGCAGGTTCTTGTTGTGACTCAGGTCCAGTTCTCTCAGGTGGGAGGGGTTGGACTTCAGAGCTGAGGTCACGACTTCACAGTGAGACTCTGAGAGTCCACAACCACTAAGTCTGTGATCAGAGAAAATATGAAATCTGTTAGAATAAAATCAGATTTAATTCATAATAAAAATACAGTTGATGTCAATCTTGTTTCCATTTTGCCTCCAGTGAGTTTTCCTCTGAGCTCTTACTCTTAGTGGCTGCTGGGAGACACCTGGTGATGTCTCCAGGTGTGTAGCCCTTGAGACAGGTTTGTTTTAACCCCTGATACAACATTTTGAAATTAAGCCACACCTGAACATAAAAAACATGTTGACTGATTTTGGAGAGATGGAAGAACATGAATTCCAATCCTACCTGCCTCCATGTCCCACACTTCCCTCAAGCAGAGTTTCTTCTTTTCTACACTTTCCCTCCTCTGCTACCGGCCCTGCTTTAATTTGGTTAGTGTTGCAGTCTGAAGGTCTGTGGCTTCAAATGATTGTGCCATAAAAACAGAACAGTCATTTAGAACTGTTTTCAAGAATAACTTGGAAATAAATTGGAACCATAGAAATCTTTTATTTTTCCAGAAATCTCAAATCTGAAGTTGTTGTTCATAATCATCACTTATGTGACTTCAGCTTGGTGAAATGTTTGTGTGGAAGGCAGATGCAGCTTCTGTCAAATTCAAATCAGCAGCAGCAGAAGATCTGTGAGTCTGTGTTTGATTTTCATCAAGTGTCTTATTTTAAAATTAAAACAATTTTAAAAAATGATGCAACTTCTCTACTGATCTATATCACAAACATTACAACTGGTTTCACCTTCTTCTTGTAGTAATAACAACAAAGAGTCCTTTGTCTTCTCCAGTTTACTGTTTAAATCCTCAACCAATGAAAAACTGAACCTTAAAACATTTGAACTGAATACAGACACAAAACCACAACAGCTCCAGTCAGTGAACTGACCTCAGAGTCTCCAGTCTACAGTTTGGACTCTCCAGTGCAGCAGACAGAAGCTTCACTCCTGAATCCTCCAGGTCGTTTCCAGTCAGGTCCAGTTCTCTCAGATGGGAGGGGTTGGACTTCAGAGCTGAGGCCACGACTTCACAGTGAGTCTCTGAGAGTTCACAATAAGAAAGTCTGTGATGAGAGAAAATATAAGATCTGTTAGAATAAAATCAGATTGAATTTGTAATAAAAATACCGTGGATGCATATGATGACACAACACGATGATGTGATGAACATCTGCTCTTCACATCTGGGGTTCAGCTCATCTTCTCTCACTGTGTTTGACATGAAACAATAATCCTCATCACTCTCTCAGACCTGCAGAGTTTTAATGTGAATCTTTGTTTTGCAGATGAAGGAGGGAAAATGACGTCACGTTTATTCTTCATCATGTGATTTGATCCAGAGTCAGAATGAAGACATGTTGTTGAGAAGAACATTTTTACTGTCCACTGTTTTTAAACTGACTCCAGAACATTTCTTCTGAGTTCAGCTCAGTGAACAATTCAATCTAATCTGTGTTTGCTGCATGGTTTTCACAGACTGTCATCAGGAAACATGACGTTGACCTTTGGTGTGTATAAGAAGGCTGAATCCTCCATTCTGCTCTGATATACTCAGACCTGTGTTCCTGTCTGAAGCTGAACATTTCCTGATACGACTCCTCTACAGCAACAAGAGAGAAAACACCTGTGACTTTCTGTCTCATTGAACACAATATATGGAAAGACTTTAAAGCTCCACCATGACACTGAAAAGACTGTTCAATAATCAATAAATCACACTCTTGATCAGTTCAATACACTCAGGTTTAAATCTCCACTCTTGGTCTGGTGTGACCAGTAGTTTATGGAGGCTCATGTTAATGTGTGTGAACTTTAAATAGATGATGTTGGTAAATGACAGGACTGAGTCACTCACTGATGATGACTTCTCTCTACCTGTGCAGCTGTTACATTATGTTTGATCATGAACCATTATCCCATCAGTGTTTGTTGTCACCACAGCTGCTGCTGTTCAGAGAAACTCACACACTCACTGTGGAGAATTAAACAGTGGAAAGTAGCAGCTTTAATTAGAGCAGACTGTTTTTGTGTCATGTGATTTAAAGGGAGGGAGGCTCCCCCGAACATCCTCCATGCTCATCATGACTTCAGTCATCTCTGGAAAATGATTCAGGTCTTAGACAAACTTCACTAAACACCTGCTAGAACCTGCTCATCACAACTTTACTGTGTCTGTGCTTCACTTCTTTCTAACTCTTCAGACTCCGCCCACACTGACTCAGGTGAGCTCACCTGAGGACATTTATCAGACTGCACACAGCTCCCTCTGGAGACACTAAAGGTTCATGTGCAGTCGTACTAACCAACACCTGGAAACACCTGGAAACACACTGAGGTGTAAGATCAGTGGAGTCCTGCTTTAATTTGTTTCATCAGGTTTGAATAAAACCAAAAGTCAAAACAACACAGAACAAATAAATGAAGCATCTAATAATTAATACAAATAAACAAAATAACTGTTTTAATTCATTTAACAGCAACAATCACAACCAACTGAAGAATCTACATGTTGGAGCTCACAGCTTTTACAACACCTCCAGAAAAAAACACAACTTCATGAGAAGAAATGAAAACTGTGTTTATCTGAACTTGATTCAACCACTAATCTAATCCACTGATCAATAATTATAATGATCATGTCTGGACTCACCCAGCCTTTCTGCAGTTCCTCACAGCTGGGATCAGTCTCCGTCGTCCCTCCAATGATGTGTTGTACTTCTTCAGGTCCAACTCCTCCAGAACCTCCTCTGACATCTGCAGCATGTAGGCCAGAGCTGAGCAGTGGATCTCAGAGAGTCTCTTCTCTGATCTGTTCTCTGACTTCAGGAACTCTTGGATCTCCTGATGAACTGAGTGATCCTTCATCTCCATCAGACAGTGGAAGATGTTGATGCTTCTGTCAGGAGAGATATCATCTCTGTTCATCTTCTTCAGGTTGTTGATGGCTCTCTGGATGGTTTCTGGACTGTTCTCTGTCTGACCCAGCAGACCTCCTAAGAGTCTCTGGTTGGACTCCAGAGAGAGGCCATGAAGGAAGCGGACAAACAGGTCCAGGTGACCATTTTTACTTTTGAGGGATTTCTCCATGGCTGCCCTCAGGAAGACATCCAGGGTTAAATCAACATGTTGTTTCCCCAGGAAGTTCTCCAGGACCTCTGTCTTCCTGTTGGTGTAACAGTGGAACATGTAGACTGCAGCCAGAAACTCCTGAACGCTCAGATGAACAAAGCAGTAGACTGTTTTCTGGAAGATCACACTCTCTCTTCTGAAGATCTCAGTACAAAGTCCTGAGTACACCGAGGCCTCTGTGACATCGAGACCACACTGCTCCAGGTCTTCTTGGTAGAACATGATGTTTCCTTTCTCCAGATGTTCAAACGCCAGCCTCCCCAGCTTCAGAAGAACTTCCCCGTCAGCCTCCGTCAGCTCCTGTGGACTCGTCTCACGTCCCTCATGGTACTTGTTCTTCTTCCTCTGTGTCTGAACCAGCAGGAAGTGTGAGAACAGGTCAGTCAGGGTCTGGGGCAGCTCTCCTCTCTGGTCTGTGGTCAACATGTGCTCCAGAACTGTAGCAGTGATCCAGCAGAAGACTGGGACTTGACACATGATGTGGAGGCTCCTGGACGTCTTGATGTGTGAGATGATTCTGCTGGACAGCTCTTCATCACTGGATCTCCTCCTGAAGTACTCCTCCTTCTGGGCGTCAGTGAAGCCTCGTACTTCTGTTACCCTGTCCACACATGTAGGAGGGATCTGATTGGCCGCCGCAGGTCTGGAAGTTATCCAGACGAGAGCCGAGGGAAGCAGATTCCCCCTGATGAGGTTTGTCAGCAGCACGTTGACTGATGACTCCTGTGTGACATCAGACACAACCTCCCTGTTGTTGAAATCCAGTGACAGTCTGCTTTCATCCAGGCCGTCAAAGATGAACAGAACTTTACAGACAGCGAGCTGCTCTGCTGTGACCTTCTGTAATGTTGGATGGAAAACATGGAGCAGCCTGAGAAGACTGTACTGCTGATCTCTGATCAGGTTCAGCTCCCTGAACGAAAGCAGAACCAGCAGACTGACATCTTGGTTCTCCGAGCCCTCTGCCCAGTCCAGAGAGAACTTCTGCACTGAGAAGGTTTTTCCAACGCCAGCGATGCCATTGGTCAGAACCACTCTGATGGGTCTCTGTTGGTCAGGTGAGACTTTAGAGACGTCTTCTCTCTGTTGGTCAGGTGAGACTTTAGAGACGTCTTCTCTCTGTTGGTCAGGTAAGACTTTAGAGACGTCTTCTCTCTGTTGGTCAGGTAAGACTTTAAAGATGTCGTGGCACCTGATTGGAGCGTCATGGAGGGTCTCCATCTTGGAAGTTGTCTCCAGCTGCCTCACCTCATGTTGGGTATTAACCTCTTCACTCTGTCCCTCTGTGATGTGGAGCTCAGTGTAGATCCTGTTGAGGAGGGTTCCACTTCCTGTTCCATCAGTTCCTTCAGTCACATGTTCACATCTGCTCCTCAGACTGATCTTATGTTGATCTAAAACCTCCTGCAGACCACTATCTGCTGAAAGAGAAGAGACAACGTCAGACTGAAGAAAGAGAATCTGAGAATCTGATGATTATTTTCATCAGCTGCAGAAAAACTAAAGACAACAAAGAAAAGATTTTAATGTTGTGGTATTTATAATCATCTTAAATGTCGATGCTGTGTGATGTAACAAATGACTCTGTATAAAACAACAGGTCCTGGTTTCAGAATGATGACATCATCATACAGATGTTCAGTCTCACTTTGTTCAGTGCTGGTCTGACTGGCTGTCTGCAGTCCAGGTCTTGTTCTGGGTCTTTGTCCACACTGGGGACAGGAGGAGTCTCCTGAAGAACCAGACTGGTCCCAGTATGAGGTGAAGCACTTTCTGCAGAACCAGTGTCCACAGCTGGTAGAGACTGGATCCTTCAGGACGTCCTGACACAGAGCACAGCTGGACAGCTGCTCCTCCACAGAGACACCTCTCCTCTTCTCTCTGTGAAGACATTTCTTTATCACTAACATGTCACTGTCACAGGTCGACATCTGTGTTCTGATTGGTTTGCAACCTCAAGAGGGCGGGGCTTCAGTAACATGAGCCAGCCTGAGGGCAGAGACCAGAGGAGGAGAGAGAGAGAAAGTAGAGGAAGACGAGTGGAGAGCTGAATGAAGACCTGGTCCTTTTCAAAATAAAAGTGTCTCTGTATCTGCTGCTTGAATCTTTACTGTGACTTCAGCTTCAAGGCTCAGACGTGTAAATCATTAAAGTGTCACCTCCAACATGGAGACACTGTGTTTCTTCTCTGTCCTTCTGTTCACTGACAGGTCTACAGACTGGTGGAGCACACACAGCTGTTTTTATGAAATCAGCTGATTGTGGGCGTGTCTGAATCCATCTATGGGAACTGTGGAGGTGGCGATCAGGCTGGTGTTGGTGCACCAACTCTCACACTGACTGAGGTTGATGAAACAGTAACATGAGGACGAATTGTTGGGTCTCTGTAAATAATATTATAAAGAGAAGGTCTAGACCTGCTCTATTTGGAAAGTGCCTTGAGATAACTTCAGTTGTGAATTGGTGCTATAAGAAGAAAAGAAAGAAGGAAAAGAGAAAGAAACGCTGTGCTTTATAAATCTGATGAAAAGAGTGTGTGTGCATGTTTCTGTCTCTGAGGTTTGGTTGTGAACCTACACAGAGTTTTATGGATGTGGCTCCTGGTTTCTCCCTGTTTCCTTCACGTTTCTAATAACTGAATCATCTTCAGCTCAGTTTACAGTAGAAACAGTCTCTTACTGTGAGTCTGAGGGTCCAGGTTCATCACTGAAGACTGGAGGATTAAGCTCTTTGGACCCATCACTCTTCATAGACGGACAGATGGATCCTGGAGACTCTGCTCTCAGTCTGTGGTTCTGACCTCTGCAAACACAAACATGTTTTTATTCATTTCACATCGATCACTGATCAATTCTCTGATTACAGAGGCATTGTGGGAAGTCTACACTGACGTCACCATCCAGCACCACACACTGCACTGAAGGATGGAAGCAACACACCAGCATCCATAAACACTGTTGTGTCAGTCAGTCATTAAATGTGTCGGTCTCCAGCTGTTGATGACCTGTCTCACATCAGCTCTAGAGAAGCAGAGTGATACAAAGGTGAGAGGAGAGGATCAGAAACTGCCACTGCTCAGCATCTGTATCCTCAACCTCAGCTCCACTGTGTCAACATCTGGATGTACCTGGTCAACAGTCCTCCTCCTGCAGCCCAGGGAAAAGAGACATGAAGACAAAACATCAGGACTAAAACAAACAGCTGCTGATGTGTCTGCTCTTCTTCTCCATATTGATCCTTTCCCTTGAGTTCAGCTTCATCTCACACAAGGAGGCCTCTGTGTTTCTGATTATTGTGACTACAGCAAACACCACATCCTGCTGCTGCTTCATCTGTCCATGACACAACTTCACTGACAAACACAGTGGACAAACACACAGTGTGGCAGTTACATCTGCAGACACATGGTAAAGACAGTCTGGTGTGTCATTAAAGGAGCATTCATTTTTGTTCTTGACAACAACAGTGTGTTCTTCCGTCTTTCAACTCTTCCCTCCTCTGTCTGTGGCTCTCAGCTCTGAGCTCATTGGTTCCTGCTGAAGACGTGAATCTGTAAAAACTCCCCTTTAATTACTGGCCTCTGTAAATCAGTCATGTTCATCAGCTGCAGGAAAAATATGATCTTTGATCAGATCATTTCACAAGAAACAAGCAGCCAGTATCAACACACTGATAAGACAGAAGAACCAGGAAGAAATTATTTTCTGTTCCAGTGACGTCGACTGCAGCAGCTCAACACACTGAACACTGTTACAGAGACAGTTTGGAGGTTCACAGGTCTGTAGCAGGTCTCTTACTGTGAGTCTGAGAGTCCAGGTTCAGTACTGAAGTCTGGAGGTTTTTCTTTGGACCAGTCTCTCTTCATCGACGGATAGATGGATCCTGGAGACTCTGCTCTGTCCTCCTCTTCCTCCACACAAACACTCATCTTCAGGACTTCAGTCAGTCTGAGAGGGAAACCAGTAACACTGACTGTGAGATGAGACACACACACACACTTTAACAGAGTGTACAGTATAATAACCCTGCTCAGTTTTCATGTGTATTATTCAGCTCATTACAGTGTCAAGTCAAACTGATGATTGTGACGCAGTGAACTGGAAGTGCCACACCTCATGTTGTTCCCTCCTCTCCTCTCAGTGTCTTTGTGTGGACAGAAGTTCACTGTGACTCTTCTTCCCTCCACAGGGACAAACTGACTCTGAGACTTTGACAGTAAAATAATAATAATGTTTAAACACTCACCTGCGTCAGTCTTCAGTTTCCCTCCTTCTGCTCCGACAGTTAAAATGGCATCTGAACTCTGAACACCCGAACTTTGAACACTTTCATCTGCTCCTCCTCTCTGCAGTTACAGGAAATCACCTGAGTCTGTCTGTGGTTTATTCTCCCATTAGAGTTCAGAAAGTCTTCTGACGTCTTCACTAGTGTTTTAGTTTTATGCCACAATCATTTAAATTCATTTTCCCTCATCGGTCTTCCCTCAATTCTCCATAATGACAAAGTCAAAACAGAATTCAAGACATGTTTACAAATGTATTAAAAAGTAAAAAAGTCACTATTAACCGCCATATATTTATTTTCAAATCATCTGCTGCCTTAGAATTAACATTGAATAAGTGTTTGAGCAAATGTTTAGCCCTGAATCTGGCTCCTTCTACGTTGACTGACTGTACTAGTGAGTCATTTAGATTTTCTGGAGGAACATTAATCATTAAGATTGATTGACTAATTGGAAAAATAGTCGATGGACTAATCTATAGAAAAATAGTTGTCAGTGACAGCCCTGCATTGTGGGAAGTCTACACTGACGTCACCATCCAGCACCACACACTGTACTGAAGGATGGAAGCAACACACCAGCATCCATAAACACTATTGTGTCAGTCAGTCATTAAATGTGTCGGTCTCCAGCTGTTGATGACCTGTCTCACATCAGCTCTAGAGAAGCAGAGTGATACAAAGGTGAGAGGAGGCTCATGTTTAAAAAACTCTGCCACTTTCTGAAACAGCTGCTCACTGTAGTTTCTACCAAACAGACTAACTGTGCACAGTGAAGCTCATCATTCAGCCTGTAAAAGTCTTCATCTTGCAAAGTCTCTGAACTCTGTTAGATCCAGCTCATCAAGGTTCACCAACACACTGCTCCCTCCTTCTGTAGCTGCTTCTCTCCTCCACCACGGCCCTTTAATTACTGAACTCTGTAAATCAGTCATGTTCATCAGCTGCAGGAAAAATATGATCTTTGATCAGATCATTTCACAAGAAACAAGCAGCCAGTATCAACACACTGATGAGACAGAAGAACCAGGAAGAAATTATTTTCTGTTCCAGTGACGTCGACTGCAGCAGCTCAACACACTGAACACTGTTACAGAGACAGTTTGGAGGTTCACAGGTCTGTAGCAGGTCTCTTACTGTGAGTCTGTGGGTCCAGGTTCAGTACTGAAGTCTGGAGGATTGTCATTTGACTTGTCACTCTTTGTCGATGGACAGATGGATCCTGGAGACTCTGCTCTGTCCTCCTCTTCCTCCACACAAACACTCATCTTCAGGACTTCAGTCAGTCTGAGAGGGAAACCAGTAACACTGACTGTGAGATAAGACACAAGAATCAGGACAAACCAGTCTGTTCTACCGTCACACCCAAAAATACCAAACAAAAACTAGAATTACTGCTTCGCAGTTGTATGCCTCCGCCGCTGAGACTAGTTTTAAATTACATCCATGTTTATCAAGGGTCGCCAGTGAGGTCACCTTAACCTTTGACCACCAAAATCTAATCACATAATCTTTGAGTCCAAGTGAATGTTTGTGACAAGTTTGAGGTTCTGTCAAGGCGTTACTGAGATATCATGTCCACGAGAATGGGACGGACGGACAGACTTACTATGTATGACTCTTCTTCCTTCCACAGTCCACAGGGACAATCTGACTCAGACACTTTGACAGTAAAACAATAATGTTGGGGCATTAAGTGGCGCAGTGGGTAGAGCAGGTGCCCCATATGTAGAGGCCACGGTCCTCGCCACAGTCGGTTTGAATCCTGCATCGGACGGCCCTTTACTGCATGTCATTCCCCCTCTCTCTCTGCCTCCCCATTTCCTGTCTCTCTCTACTGTGCTATGATAAAGGCATAAAAAGCCCCCCCAAAAAAATATACAAAACAATAATGTTGTGTTAACACTCACCTGCCTCAGTCTTCAGTTTCTCTCCTCCTGCTTTGTCCAGTTAAAATGGCATCTGAACCTACTGAACACCTGCAGTTTTAATGACTCCTCCCCTCTGCAGTTACAGGAAATCATGAGTCTGTGTACCTGTGTATGTTGTTCACCAGTTACAATTTATTTAAATTAGTTTCAATTTTCTAACTGTTAAAATTAAAATTAATGTGCTTTTAATTAATCAAATCTAACTTACTGTTGTTGTTTTTTACAGAATACACAATATACAAATAATGTTAATGATCATTATGAGAGTGAGAAGGGAACCCACTTGCTGCAGATATAATGCTGCCATCTGCTGGGCAACTCTTGGTCTTACATCCGTTAGGACGTATTCAATCCGACACCATGAATGAATAGTGAGTTAGGATGCAGCGGTGGTAGAAAAGGTGCTGAGATATTCTAATTAAGAAAAAGTAGCAGCATCACAGTGACACTACATTATAAAGGTCCTGCATTCAAAAGCCTACTTAAGTAAAAGCACAGAGGTATTATTATGAACTGAGAGTATTAAAAGTAAAAGGTACTAATTAGGCAAACTGCCTCAATTCTGTGTTATATTTATATGTATATTACTGGATGATTATTTATTCAGTTACACTTCTGCTGTAAATTTGTGACTGTAACTTTAATGTTAGGTGTGTGAACACCAGGTAAGAAATAATAATAATAAGAAATAAGTTAAGGACTTTATTTTTCTCATTAAGTCTCATATTATATTTTTATAAATATGTTTCTCCCATGATTCTTAACTTGGAGGTCAGGGCCCTCTGGAGGTCATGATGGATGATGGGCTCTTGGGAAAGATGCTAAATATGAAATAAAAGCACACAAAACGATGTCCTTTTGCTCTTGAGTAAGTGCATGAAAGACTTGGGTAACAGCACCGCCTACAGGCCACTTTATCAAAACACACCTAGTCCTGAGACCAACTCAGGTTACTTCTTCTGTGTAGTTGGACTGCAGAGACATGAAGCGAGCTCTAATTGGTGGGAGAATGAAATCCGAAGATGCTGACACTAAAAAACAGTCAAGAGAGAAAGAATAAAAAGAAAGAAAAGCCAAAAGCAGGAAATATGAGGAAAAGGAGCAGGAGTACAACAAATACTAATCTTCACATCACATAAACAAATTTACAACTTCCAATCTTTACGTGAAATTGTTTTTTCCCCACAGCCTTACTAAAGGTGAGAGACCCTGGATTGTGCTTGGGTTTCTGTCGAGTCTCTGCAGGGCTCTCAGAGTTAATATGAAGACTGTTTGAACAGCTGATCCTCACACCTTCACCCTGTCAGTGTCTCATAAAGCGTCAGGTTCACTCAGGTTAACTGGCAGATCAGAGAGCAGCTCTGTGTTCAGATGACAGCTGAATTGTGCTGCTGTTAAAGCGTTTCTGATCTGAACAAGACGGCGGTGAGATGCCCTCCACGACACAGACTCCAGCAGGAATTCACCGATATCTGTCGACTTGCTGCGGTTTGAGCTCACAATACAGAGAAAATAAAAAGGAGGTGAAGCTGATTGTTCCCACGTCAACAGACACCTGCACCGCCGCGTCGAGACTCAGTTTAGTTTCTACTGTCAGCATGAAAGCACCAACAGCAGCACACATTTACACGAAGACAAACATCAGTCCTGTTTCTTCCAAAATGCTAATAACCACAGACTGTTAAAGATAGATGTAGCCTCTATGACTTCAAGCGTAGGTTTCTGGTGAAACGGGTTTGAAGCTGCTCCGCCGCCGCCATTTTGGCAGTGTCTGACTAACTCCCGGCTAATTCAGAAATGGGCAAATATGTTGAGTGTGTGTAGAGCCGAGACTTCGGTTCATGTCGGATCAATAACTATGGCAAGCATTTACTCCCGTTAGCATTGTTAGCACAGCTAGGCGTCTAGCTCGGAGGCTAACCCAACGCTAATTCATAGACTGGCTATTAGCTGGTTAAGGGTTAACGCTAACCCTAGCAAGCCAGGTATGGCGAGAGTGCCAACTTATATCACAGAATTTCACTCACCTCAATAAAAAGGGGCAAAGACTTCCTCAACTTCTGTTCAACTTTAATTAACCAACAACAAGCCACATTATTTGTCCGATATTTGTATGAAAAAAATCCTAACCGTTGAGCCTCTTCGTGTCTGGCCGTTATCTACGTCACTGACAAACTAATTCCAGTCACGTTCACGTTCTGACTGGAATGAGCTGATGTGTCGCAGTTGACGGTCAGACACTAACCGTTTAACCGCTTCGTGTCTGAAAGATCTCGGTTCAGTTGCTTGGACGGTTTTACAAATATAGACTTTGACTTTATCTTAGATGTAACAGATAAACGTCTAAATTGCGCAAAGCCCTTTATTTCTTGAGTATCTTAAACCGGACTGTGGTGCAATGAATTCTGGGTAAATAAAATTTCTTTCAAAGTAAAAAATGGCCGACCAAGGACCCGCATCCAACCGACCGCTCAGCCCCGTTTACCCCAGCTGAACATGTTTGTCTTTTGGAAGAATTCAACCACAAGGACGTTTCACTTGAGAAATTCGGCGAAGAGTGAAACAATGAAAAGAAAAATTTGATTTGGAAAAAAATTGCCGCGGTCCCTAAAAATAATTTCCCGTCTCATTGCTTTGTCCATAACAATGTAAGCGAACCACAAATTATGATCTATGTTTTTCAAATAGAGCTGAAAGGATTACGCAATTTAAAATTATTCTGTCATTTTTCATGTAACGTGTCAAACATTTCAGGGTCCCAATTTTTTAAATGAGATGATAAACTGCTTGTCATTTCTGTCATTTTATTTATTTATTTATTTTTAAGGTTTGTACAGTTGGTTGGAGCATTTGTCAGGATTGTCTAAATTTTGACAAACCAAATAATCAGTTAATTAATCCTGAAATTAATTGGCCAATTAATCCATAATGAAAATAATCAGATAAAAACTAGCTCCACCTCAACTACAGCAGTAAAATGCTGTGTAATAAAAATGCAAGTGCTCCCTAAAATACTGTACTTATTTCAAAACATTCCACTGCCACCACCTGAAGAGTTCTTTCAGAAACTAAGAAAGCTTTTCATCGGTTTTATATGGCAAAACAAGCTGGCTAGAATTCGATTCTCTTTGCTCCACCTATCATATAGTAATGGCGGCTTAAAATGCCCAAATATGACCTGGTATTACTCGGCACTACAACTAAGATCCATTAATTTTTTTTTCTCAACAAAGAACATTCCTCAGTGGAAGGAAATGGAATCAGAAGGTTTGAGCTTACCTCTACAGTTGTATTTATAGTCAGACACGTTGCCATATTTGATGAAACAAACCCTATTGTTAAAAATATGATTAATGTGTGGTTTAAAATGAAATGATTTATTAAAGACTCTAACTTAATATCTCAATTTAGTCCCATTTGGGGAAATCAGTGTTTCATGCCAGGAAGAGCTGATGTTGTATTCAGAACATGGGCATCAAAAGGATTGGGAAAAATTCAAGACTTGTACCCACCTAATTCAGACACTATAATGTCATTTGAAGAAATAAGGCATAATTATGATATAGATAAAAAAAACTTTTTTAAATTCCTTCAACTCAGAAGCTTCATTAGAAAGAGTCAAGATGGTCTCCTAACTAAACCCTTCACATCAAACTTGGAAAAATTGATATCTACAGACAGCCTAAGTAAAGGTGCTATATCAGAATTATACAATTTGTTATTATCCAATTCATCCGAGAACTCTGATTACAAAAGAAATGCATGGAGGGAAGACCTGGAATTGGATATTTCACCAAAAGATTGGGAATCAATCTGTACTAAGGCCCATACCCAAACAATTAACTCCAGATTAAGATTGCTACAGTACAAATGGTTAATGAGGACATATACTACGCCAGTTAACTTAAATAAATATGATAGTAATATTCCAGATTTATGTGTAAAATGTTCTGAAATAAAAGGTAAGTTTTTTCATTGTGTTTGGCAATGTCGCAAAATAAATTCTTTTTGGAGGGAGGTTAAAAGAGTAGACAGAAGATTACATCAAAAGATATTCCTATGAACCCTGGTTTCTTTATTTTAGGACTATATCACAAGTTCCTTAAGAGTGAACAAACACTGATAAATATTTGTCTTCTGCATGCTAACAGATCAATTACAATGTTTTGGAAAAAAACTTGTAGTCCAAGTATTACTTTTCTAGCCAGGCAAATGCTTTTGACCTTGCATCTTGAAAAAATATCATACATACAAAAAGGGAGGCAAGGTTTGTTTGAAAAAATATGGGGATCTTTTATTGTATTTATAAAAAGTTTAGATCTAACAGAGGATGTAGAGAGTGAATAAAACTGATGTATGTGATAGCTAAATTTGTGCTGAAATTGAGAAAGGAAAAACCCCTAATTGTCCTTCATCTCTATAATTGTACTTGTCTGAGAAGATGTTCCTTGTTCTTTGTAATGTTGGTTCATTTTGTATATGTTGATATGATGTGTATGTATGTGATGTAAGCTTACTTGTTTTGAAAAACTTTCAATAAATATAATGTTGGAAAAGAAAAAATGCTGCGTAACCTACACATGAATCCAAGTCATTATAACAATATAATTTATAATATAACACTCATATCAAGTACTAATACTTAGGTTCATTTTCCTGATTATATTTACAGACTTTTACTTAAATAACATTTTCAGTACAGGACAATTTGTAATGGAGTTTTTCTTTTTACAGTGTGTGTGGTATTAGTACTTTCACATGAATAAAGAATACCTGTTTGGCCAATAATGTCTATGTGAAAACCATACTGTGCCATTCTGTGCTAAGCCAGGCCAGTATGGGATAGACTCAGTATTAAAAATAATCATGCACATTAAAGTCAGAGTTTCCACCCACCACATAATTGCAGCCTTGTCCTCTGGGCTTTAACAAACCCACTTATATCCACTCCAGAAAATAGACTGGCCCGACTCAGATCTGCTTAACACACTGCAGAGCTGCAATTGAAAAT